CAAAGCCAAGATTGAGTGTGTAATATGCCTCTGGTTTTGAGTATTTCATATCACAGTTCTTCCCCAACCCCATTTCCTGAAGGGGAGAAATTGCCAGCTAATGACTTTTTTTTCATACCCATTGGCCACAAGAGTAATTAATTGCATGATCTGGTATCTATCGGAAATTTACCAGTGTGTGCCCAGCTCAGCTACTCACCTCACCACAGTCACTGGCTCTCTGAGGACAGCTTGCCCCATGTAACCACATTCATCTTCCATTTCACCTGGAGACTAGAGGAACTTCTTCAGCTCCTATTAGAACAGTCACCTTAATTAGGAGATTGTGGGGTTTTTTTTAAATGACCTGAATTCTGGGAAGCACCCCTACTAGCCAGGAAATGAGCTATGGTTTGAGGTATATTTTGTGTGAGTTTTGAAATATCATTTACTGGAATTTGAAGGCAAATTATTCTAATTTACAATGTTTAGAAAGAGTGACTCCTCAAGTAATTTTTTTAAAGTGTTATTTTTTAGTAGGTATGATATTTATCTGATCCTGAGCACTGTTGATTTTACTAATTGAGTGAATTGAGGTTCAAGTGATAATGACATTTTTTCTTACTCCACATGCAAAGGAGTCTTTCCATTATTTATTTGGAGACCCAGATTCAGAAGGTTTTAAATCCCGCCATACTACCTATGTGATCTTAGGTGAAATCACTTCACCTTGATTGTCCTTATAGACTCTTTGTCTGTGAAATGAGCTGGTGGACCAGAAGGTCAGGTGTCTGAGGTCTCTTCCTACTTGAAATCTATGATTCTGTGTTCTCTGTACCCCTTTTCTATAGAGAATCTTTGAAGATAAGAATGAATATGTATTAGTGATTGGCCAAGATGAAAATTGGTACTCCCATGAGCTCTAGCTAAGAGAAAGTGGTTGTATGTGTGTGATTAGGGTGGTCCTAGTATTAGTGGCCTAAAGGTCTTCCAAATCCTCCAAGGATCTATTGATGGATTAGTGCTAATTTAATATTTTTTACATGACTGTCATTTCTAAACCTCTTCCAACCCACTTATCAATTGCTATCCAAGCATTCTTTGTAACAAAAAATAAGGAAAACTGAGAAAATAGTGGTTTGGTAAAACTAATCAAAACATCAAGTAGGCCTGCTGGTGAATATAGTATTCCGCACTCAGGGTCTTTCATCTCTACACAAAAATGGAAACAGATACATTGTCTCATCTCTTCTCCCAGACCAAGCTTGGTTATTGTAATTACGAAGTGTTTTTTTTTCTTCTTTCTATTGAATGTTGTAGTCAGTGTGTATATTTCATTATTGTCTCTGCTTACTTTATTTTAGACTGCATCAGTTGACAGAAATCTTCCTGTGGTTCTCTGAATTCATCATACTAATTGTTCTTTTCTAGCACAGTGATTTTTGCCATACCCTGATCAGTCATCTTTGACAAAACATGGAAATGAAATTGGGGACAGAAATAAAGAACCCAAGTATTTATGGCAGAACTTTTTGTAGTAGGAAAGAACTGGGAACAAAGTAGATTTCCCCAAAGTCTCTTTGATTTCTATTTGTCTTATTATTAGTGAATTGGAGGTGCCTTTCAAATTTGATCAATAGTTTTTAGTTCTTAAAAACTGTTTATTCCTATCCTTGGGCCACTTAGCCATTGGGATTCCAATTTGATCTTAAGTATTTTCTCTGATTTTGGTAACAGTGAACATTTATCAGAATCTCCTTTTAGTCAGAGAGAATGTTTGTAGCATCACCAGTCTTCTTGGTTTGTGGTTTAAGGAGGAATATTGAAAATTGCCTGCAAAAGTTGATCAGTGTTGTTGTCAGTGGTAGGAGTGACTCGGTGTTCCAGTGTTGAAGAGGTCAACATGCCCTGGTTTTCCACAGTGCTCTTTTTATCTCTATAGGAAATATATTGATCAGCAAGCATTTATGAAATGCCTCCTCTGTGTCAAGAACTGTGCTAAGTGCTGGGAAACAAAGACAAAAGCTGAAGCAGTCCCTGCTTTCAAGGAGCTACTTAAACACCTTGTCTACATCTCCAACTTCCTCTCTTTATCTGTGTTAGAATAAAAGTGCCTCTTGTACCCCTGAACACTATAGACTACCTAGGAAATCATATCTCAGATTTGTTCTCAGTATTCTTTCAAACGATCCTGTCTTTTAAAAAAGAAATGCGTATTTAATGGATTATAGTGCATTCTAAGAAGACTTATAGTCTGCAGAGAAACTTAGCTTTTAATTTTTTAAGATATTATACTTAGCTCATTCTGATTATGTGAGACATTTCATACAGTAGTTTTCCACCCACAATCCAGTCCATACTAGAGAGCCACCATTATGGCAGCCTTTCTTTAGGGACTTGAGTGATTGTTACCCTGGATGAGGCTTAAGACAGAGCAGCCACACACCAAACCACCCCCAGGGAATAGTATTCTCACCAGTGTGTTAGCACCATGCCCTACTTTCAGCCCAATTACATTGTTGGCTGTTATAATTAAATGAAACTTGCCAGATGGATGCATGCATGGTGTGCTGCTTTGTCTTCTTGCTCTATTTGTGAAACCTGGCATAGGTTTTCAGTACTTGAGTATGTCTACCTTCTGATTGCTTGAGAATATGTGTGTGTGTGTGTGTGTGTGTGTGTATGTGTGTGTGTGTGTGTGTGTTGCACTTCACAAGGCTGCCCACCAGCAGCATCAGGCTTTAATGATAGGGTGGTATATTTGCCATGTACCAAGACATATTGCCTTGGGGTAGGCATGTTGCTGGAGTCGTCCTACAAAGAAATTGTCATTTTCTTAGTGTGTCCGCCCTTTCGGGAAATAAACTTCCAAAGATTAAAATCTCAATCTTTTTCCCTCTGGTCACACATTTTCTATCAGTTGCTAGCGACATTGTAATATTGCAAATCCAGGATATGTTGTTTGTTTAAATAATATTGCAATGGCCATCCATAATGTGTGGAACTATAATGACATACCTAACCTCTTTTAAAATAACAGCTTTCAGATGCTGAAAAATACTATTTCAAGCCACATAAGAAATGGCCAGCTTAGTAGATGTAGGAGTGCTCTGTTGAATAGGGAGCTTCCATTTATCATCATCATTAACGCTAGTCGGCACATAAATATTGTTTCAAGACCTACAAAGTGCTTATAATAGTCTTGTGAGTTAACGTTTTCTGTTTTCGTTTGTTCTATTGCAGATTTGTGATTTTTGCTGGTGGGGGCAACTTTTACAGATCAATAACTCATCTGAAACATAATAATTCTAGTGCAAATATTACCCATGGAGAGGCAACAAGACATAGAGGGTAAAAGAGCAGGCCTTATAGTGAGAAAGACCTAGATTTAAGTTCATGCTTTGACTCAGTGCTAGTTGTGTGACAGAGTTCAAGGTTTTGCCCTCAGGTGATCCTGTGAAACAGAATTCCAGCTCATTGGAATTTTGAGAACTAGAAGGTACCCCTGGGGGTCATCTGGGGCCTAGGGGATGTTGGAAAGGAATCTCCATGCAATAAGGAGTCATCTAGCCTTTGCATGAAAGCTCTCATGTTTCTTGAAAGACTGTTCTATTCCTGCAGAACTCTAAACACTCCGAGGTTGTTTTCGGGGGTTTTTTTCCCCCTGACATTAAGCCTAAATTTACCTTTATGTAACCTCTCCGCATTGCTCTATATTTGCCATATAGGGCCAAACAGAACCAAGTCTAATCTGTCTTCCCCAAGACAACCCTTCACATCCTTAAATGTGGGCCATCAGGTCCTCCATCAGTAAATAGCCTTTCTGTAGAGGGGAAAAGGACTTTCCACACCACAAGTTCTCTACTCTGATTAAATAACAGGTTCAGGGAAAACCCTATCTCCTCAAACCACCACCAAAAAAAAAAACCCAGACCAATAATTACTTGGTTAATTGGATTGTTCTGAGAAAAGCATCTTATTTGAATCTCTTAAGGAGGAATGTGAGCATTTTTCTGGAGTTCATTGTCATTGTTAAAATGTGCCATTTCAAGGTAGTCCTCTTAATAGAACAAACCAGCTTTTTACTTGAGCCATTGACCTACTCATCTCTTGGTTAAGAGAGTGTCTATATGTGGAATGAAATACGAAGTGGGAAATTCCCTGTCTACCATAGCTTCTCCATTACAGTGCTTATTTGAATAGTGGGCTCTAGAAAGGGGCCTTAGAGACCATCTTATGTTTGTAGAGGAACATGTGCCAGGGGATAGAAGGCTCTTCTCACCTGCCCCTCCTCTTCAGCCTTTTCTATCCCAGTGGGAATTTAGGAATCCTGCCCTGAAGATGTACCTCTTTTTATCCAAAAGAGAGATTTGGAAGGGACATGGGCTGGTCCCTTAGCTTGGGCCTTGCTTTGCTCATCTAGAAAATGAGAGGGCTTCAGGAGGTAGCCTCTGTGGTCTCTGCTCATTCTGGATCCATGATTTGAGGTTACTTCATGGTTATTTAATCTAGTTTCTCAACCAAAGTAGGAATTCGCTCTACAGCATGTATGCCAGATGTTTATCCAGCCTCTACTTGAACATTTCCAATGATGGGGACCTCACTACCTCCTTAGTTAGGTAGCTTGTTCAACCATGGAATAGCTCTAACTTTTTAGAGCATGCTACCTTTTATTGAGCTACAATATATCTACCTGTAACTTCAACCCATTGGTTCCACTTTTGTACTTTGGAGCAATAATGTCTAATAATAACAATAAGTAATAACTCTGTTTAGTTAGTTATTAGCCCCATTTGTAGGGGATGAAATTGAGCCCCAGAGAGATGTGTGTAGTGTTTTACCAACAAGTCGCATGGACATAGTCTCAGCTCAGGTCTTCTGACCATGTTCTATTATCTACTGAGTTGTCTCTCTTGCCAAGATCCTTTCTAGCTCTGAAAACCTGTGATAAGGAAAGAAGGGGATTGTGAGAGTGAACATTTGAAGCAGTCTGAATTGTGACTATTTTTTTTCTCTTCCAGCAAAACCAGAGATTCTTACATCTGACAGACTCATGAATGGTCTGCTCCAGTGCGTGGCAGCAGGGTTCCCCAAACCTACAATAGATTGGTATTTTTGTCCAGGAACTGAGCAGAGGTGAGATGATTTATTTCTGGCACTACTTTAAATTCAAAAGGAACAGCTTCTGTTCAGTTGAATTCTGAATACATTTTACACACACACACACACACACACACACACACACACACACACACACACACAATCTTTGATTTTTCTTTTTATTGGCACAGCTTCTTGATTAGAGTAGAGGGGGTTGATAATTGCTGTGTTTTCCTTGATAGATACTAATTTTGCAATTCTGTTTCCAGAAAAATGATTACTGAATGACTTCTCTATTTTGGTGGTTATCTTTTTGGATTTATCATGCAAAATTTCTAGCCTGCAGGTAGATAAAGCAATTTTCCAGGGCACAGTAATTAGATTTCCATTTTATACACAGGGGATAATGTGTGTGGGAAATGTGGCTGGAGTGATCATGAAAAAATTACCTCAGAAGTTAATTACCAAGTTGCCAAAAAGTAATGATCATGCAATTACAAGCATCCATACAGTATTTGTAAGCTGGGTATTAAAAAGACTGTCCTCTCCATGATTGGCTACATGGAGCACTAACAGAGCAAATACAGTATTTTTGTTGTTCTTCTTCTTTCGGGAGGTCCTTATTTGCCTCATTCCACACTTATCCCTTAGGGCAGCTAGGTGGTGTAGTGGATAGGGCAGTGGGCTAGGAAACCAGGGAGACTCATCTTCCCAAGTTCAAATCTAGTCTCAGACACTTACTAACTGTGTGACCCTGGGCAAGTCATTTAACCCTCTTTGTCTCAGTTTCCTCATCTGTAAAATGAGCTGGAGAAGGAAATGGGAAACCATTCCAGTATCTTTGCCAAGAAAACCGCAAATATGGAGTCATAGAGCATCAGAAAAGTCAGATGTACTGAAAATGACTGAACAACAACAGTACCACTTGTCCCTTAAATTGACTTTTTTATTATCTGAAGGCTAACAAATGAGTTGGTGCTGCTTTGTCCAACAATTAGTGTTGACGGTTAGGTTCAGAGCACAGTTGAACATGATTGAAGTCAATAAAAATTATAATTTTGTGGTTCAAGAATCAAAATTTCAGAGTTGGAAGTTGGGGGGGGTGGAGATGTATATTTACAATGGAGGAAACTGAACCCCAAAAAGGTAAAGTCTTGGAGATTTAGTGTGGCAGATGTGAGGCATCTTTTAATCTAGATACCAAAAGATGATTCCATACTGTATGTGGGGAGCTATCTCATTCCTCTCCCTTTCAGTCACCTTAGGCAGTAATGGATGGTTTGGAAGAGTTTTAAGACCCTTCGAGAGTACTTTGCTAAGGTAGCTACTGGTTATCCTAGCATTGTTGTGCTAAGGAAACCCTACAATAACCCTCCCTTGGTCACCAGTATGAGGGGAGGCATGCTGTTCTTTTCAATGGTGCCCTTCCAAGGCACTGTTGGAAGGTAGACCAGACTACAAGGTGGCTAAGCATATGAGAGAAGTACCTTCCAGCCTTGAGTATTAAATACTGAAAATTAAAATTTGAGTGTGCTCCTAGTAGGTACCCCATTAACAGATCATAATTATGCAATATCCTTCATGGAATAAATGCTTATTTCAGAATTAGTTGCTGTTGGGGAGAGGAATAGGGAAGAAAGCTTATGTCAAGATATTAAATTTTCTAATGTAAATTAGAGATATTCTTTAAGGAGGGCTGTATGCTAGATCTCTTTTTCTTTTTTATGCAGTAAGAATCATTGTTAATTGCTTCTAGGTGTTCAACATCTGTTCCGCCAATGGATATGAAGATAAATTCATCCATGCTGCCACCCTTTGGAAAAATAGTGGTTGAAAGTACCATTGATTCCAGTGCTTTTAAAAACAATGGCACTGTTGAGTGTAAGGCTTCCAATGATGTTGGCAAGAGTTCAGCCTTTTTTAACTTTGCTATTAAAGGTAACATTAAAGGTATATTTCTTTTTAATGCAATTTAAGGGGATATTTAGTCTCTTCCACCATGTCCACCATGATTTAAGCACGTTTCATCATTTGTTATCATTATCATATTGTCATACTACGTATGATCTGAACAATATTAAAAGTCATTTCATAAGTTTAGCTCATTTTATGTATTTCATGAAACATTACCATTGGGAATTTGAAAATTGATGTTGACTTTGCCCATTTTCACTCCCACACATCTGAGTAAAATTGTATTTTTGTTCCCCTGCCTAGCAAGATTTTTAGTGGAGGGAGGAATAAGTAGAGAAGTAAAAGTACTCACAAATTATTGGATATCCCATAGAATAATGGTTATGAAAACATGAATAGCTCCTTAATACTGGTCTGTTCTTTTTCAATTACAACAAACATTTAATGAACACCTAATGTATGCAGGGCCCTCCTAGGTACTGGGAGAGATACAAAGACTAAAAAAGACAAGGCTCCCCTGCCTTCATGCAACTCAGTTTAGTAGGAGGATATGGCATAACAAAATATGCATGGTAAAAAAAGTCATACTTGCACATCAGATTTGCAAATCAAGCACCATATTATGCACCAAGAGGAAGATAGGAGAAAAAAATCATTACTGACCCGGGGTAGGAGGTGATTGCAAAGCATTACGGAGCAGGCAGTATTTTAGCATGAGACCTTGAAGGAGGAGCAAACTTTCAACAAAGTAGAGATGGTTGAGGGAGGGGTGATGTTCCAAGTACAGGAGAATGAGACGGTGATAGTTCTGTTTATTTTAAGCATTAGATTGTTTCAAAACAGTTCCTTTTTTTTTTTGTTGTCATGTTAACCACTTTTAAAAAATCTGAAATGTGGTTCATGCAGTGTCTCTTTCTCTATCTGAAATGGGCAAGCATCTCAGGAGTTACTTAGAAAAATTCTCACTTAAAAAGGAGACCTGAAAATGTTTTCCATCCCAGTTCCTTGTTTCCTGCGTTGGCAAAGACTAGTGTGCTGCCATCACCATCCCCCCTTAAAAAAAAAGTTCTCAGTCTTTGAGTAATGAGGGGGAAGATTCTTATATTGTTATGCATTGCTGATTCTTGACCAAGACCTTGAAAAGGATTTAAGAAAGACAGCTATGAAACATACATTTCTTGATGAAGCCTCAGCACCCCAAAACTTCATGCAAGTGGAAAGAACTCTCAAAAAAGTAATCAAGGGTTTCCCCCCTCCTCCTGCAGAGTGTTAGGAGAACATAACTTTTCTCACAAAGTAGTCTTGTTTAAGGGACTTTTTGAAGTCTAGAAAGGGAACCTTAAATAAATACCAACAATAAGAAGATGATTGGAATAAGTGGCTGGAGGAAATCATATGTATTTGATCCACCACAAATTTATGCTAGCTGGGGGGGGGGGGCAGCTAGGTGGCACGGTAGATAGAGCATCAGCCTGAAGTCAGGAGGACCTGAGTTCAAATCTGGCCTCAGACCAAACACTTACTTAGCTGTGTGACTTAAACCCCAATTGCCTAAAAAACAAAAACAGAACAAAAAAATTTATGCTAGCTCATGTGGCCTCCCCCCATTGCCTTGACATCTTTTTATTCTTCTCTTATTTACTATTCCGTTTCCAGTATCAGCTGCCCTGAAACTTTTCTCTCTCCTCAAGCCTCTGAATCTCCAGTCTTTGCTTTACATTTACCTCCTGCATGACTTTGTCTCCTAGGATGTGTTCTGCTCTCTTAAGACTCTTTCTTCTTGAACAGGGGCTGGATGGAGGCAAGCCCCACTCTGCCAAGAATGAGATAATTGGGGCTAGACAGCATCTGATCTCAATGTAATCATTGCTTCCCCTGCACCGGCGTATGCTTTGTGAGGGGCATTAGCAACCAAATTACTAACCAAGAAAGATGTCCATTAATTGTCATGACTCTCTAGGGCAGGAATTCTTAACCTGGTGTCCATGAATTAAAAAACAATTTTTTGGGGGAAGAACTATTTTGATATAATAATTTCCTTTGTAATTTTATGCATCTTATTTTCTGCATTTAGAACTATTATTTATAGGAACCCCAAAAAGGTTAAGAACCCTCACCCTATTCCTCCTAGCTTTGGCATTTGCTCTCTGTTTTACATAGTTTAACCCCAACCACTGACTCCTCTGTCCTGCTTTGTTTCATTATTCCAAGTCCTTCTTGCACCCCACTCAAGACAGCCAGGAATGATTCTTTTCCATCAGGGCCTTCTCATTGGTGAGAGTTATGTATGGAAGGAAACCTCTTAATCTGGCTCTGTCCCAGTCTCTTGAAGACCTCTTGACTTGGAGAATTGAATGTCATCTGTCATGAATCTCTCTCAATGCCTTTGCCCATCTAATGCTTTCTTGTAGTCCAGCAGGAACATGTAGTTCTTTTTACCAAGGCTAACTCCCCTACCCATCCTCCTTGATTTCATTCTCTTTCATGCCCACTAATTTTTCTGACACTACCTTCTATTAACATTACACACACACACACACACACACACACACACACACACACACACACACACACACACACACCCCTGTCTCTGTCTCTCTCTCTCTCTCTCTCTGTCAAGTATGTACCGTTTTCTGAATATTGCCTCCCCCTATAGAATGTGAGCTCCTTGAGGGAAGAGACCATGTTTTTGCCTCTGAATAGTGCTGGCACCTATTCAGTGCATAATAAATGTTTGTTCACTGACCTTGTTCAATCCCCTCTTTTATCCTGTGCTGTGTGTCTTTACTATCTCAGCCTTCTCAATCAGCAATCATGCTGGAGTTGGCAGGGGAAGGGAACCACCTTTACCTCAATCCAGATACCCTTCCAGCTGTTGTCTTTTGTGTCTCTTTTTTGCCAAACTAGAGGGAGTAGACAACATTTCTGTCTCTCTCTCAACGCTCACAGCTCAGCTCCTATCCAATCCAACAAATTTCTCCAAAGGCCATTAGTAACTTCTTTATCGTGAAACCCAATGACCTTTTTTTCTGTCCTCATCCTTCTTGTCCTTTCAGTAGCATTTGGTATACCTGCTGTATCTTGATACAGTTTCTTTCCCCATGACTTCTATATCTATAATACTGTACTCATGGTTTCCCTTTTCCTCTCCAGCTGTTCCTTCTCTTCTTCTTCTTTCTGGCTTATCACCCTCTTCTCTACTTCCTGTACATTCTGGTGCATTCAACTGCTCCCGTGCCTTCAGTTTTCACCTTTCAGATGGTGACTTCAAATCCCTGTCTCTGTCCCCAACCTCTGCCCTGAGCTGGAGTTCATTGTCTCCAGCTGTCTGTTCTGTACTTGGTTGCCATGCCAGCAGCCCACATAACCTAAAGGCAAACTCATCTTCCCAGCAAAACCTGCCCTTTTCCTTAAATCTCTAACTTCCAGTTACCCAAGTCCCTTACCTTGGATATTGTCCTCTCCCTTTCTTTATGCAAGTGAGTGGCCAGTTCTTTCAATTTTGCCTTTGAAATAGCTTTTGCATTCGACTGGTCTGTTCTACATTTAAAACTGTTCTTTGCTTTTCTTGCCTAAACTCTTATAGCCTCCTAACTGGCCTTCCTGCTTCTAGTCTATCCATACTTCGGTATATCTTTTACAAGGTAATGTTCCTAATGCAGATCTCTGATCACTTCACTCTTCTCTCTACTTAGAAAACCTTAGTAGCTCCCCATTTTTTATTGGTAAAGCGTTCCCTCCCCATCCCAAAATGTGCCACTAAAGACCCTTCACATCTGACTCCGATACACCTTACCAACCTTACCTTCATATGTTCTGGGTTGCCACTATATTGGAGTATTCCCCAGCTGCCATCTTTATCCTGCCCTTTGTCCTCTCAGCCTTTACTCTAGCTATCTCCCATACCTGGAACTGATGGTTTCACCTCTTCTCCTCCATCTCCCATATTGTTAAAATCTTCCTTTTCTTTCAAGGCCCAATTCCATTGCTGCTCTCTTCTCCCCTGATATCCCTCCATGCTTCTTCTAAAAGGGCTCTCAGCTACTATTTCTCACAGCCCTTTGGCTATACTTTTCCTTTGCAGTCAACCATTGTCTCCCATGATCTCCCATGTTTCTTAGCTCCTAGTGATTGCCTTCTCCAGTCATATGGTGAGCGCCTTGAAAGGAGATTCTGTGATCTGTCTGTCTTTGTCTCCCAGCACCTACTTTAGTGCCTTGCTCACAGTGATAAATGTTTGTTGAATTGATTGAAGCAGGGCCTGCCAGACTGAGCTTTAGATCCTGTTGTCACTTGCAGTAATCCATGGGGGAAGAAGAGATTTGATGGTTGCTTCTGGGCTACAATTCCACTGTGCTCTCTCTCCCTTTTAGAACAAATCACTTCGCACACACTATTCACACCTTTACTGATTGGCTTTGTGGTAGCAGCGGGATTGATGTGCATCATCGTAATAATTCTAACCTACAAGTATTTCCAGGTAACTTTCAGCTCTTTCTCATTTAGAAGATAATGGCTGAAATCCTATCATCAAACGGTGATGTTTCTCTCTTTGGGTAATGCTTTCCTCCTCTTTCTTCCCCAACAGAAACCCATGTATGAAGTTCAGTGGAAAGTCGTGGAAGAGATAAATGGAAACAACTATGTTTACATAGACCCAACACAACTTCCTTATGATCACAAATGGGAGTTTCCCAGAAACAGGCTGAGTTTTGGTCAGTGAGAAACCGGGGCTTTCCATGTAACCTTTCTGTGGACTCTTAAAAGTGAATTTGGGGAAATCATTCTAACAACTTCCTTTGTTTCATTCTACCTGAAATTGTGACTCTGTTTTCTCAATTAGAATTTTAAGACCATGAGAGGAGTCTGATTTGAAATAACGTGTTAAGGGGGAAAATTATAATCAAAGTTGCCTCTTTCTTTATATCTTTTTCTTTTCCTTCCTTCCTTCCTTCCTTCCTTCCTTCCTTCCTTCCTTCCTTCCTTCCTTCCTTCCTTCCTTCCTTCCTTCCTTCCTTCCTTCCTTCCTTCCTTCCTTCCTTCTGATTATCACTTCTTTCTTTGTCCTAATCACTTTAAAGACACATATCATGCATCTGAGAGTAAAAGCCTTCTGTTGTGTTTGTTACAGGGAAAACACTTGGTGCAGGAGCTTTTGGGAAAGTGGTTGAGGCTACTGCCTATGGCTTGTTTAAATCGGATGCTGCAATGACCGTTGCTGTGAAGATGCTGAAACGTAAGTGTCATGGGGATTGGCTGAGTAGCAGCAACATCATCCCACTATACCCGTAACTTGCTAAATAAGATGTTTCTAATTCCAGCAAGTGCCCATTTAACTGAACGAGAAGCTCTAATGTCTGAACTGAAGGTCCTGAGTTACCTCGGTAACCACATGAATATAGTGAATCTTCTTGGAGCGTGCACTATTGGAGGTAACATTTAGAAACCCTTTACTTGCTGCTTAATTAGCAAAGGGAGGGGAACTTTGTGACCAGAGCATTTGATGAAAGTTCCTTGTGAGACATTATACTATTCTTTTTATCTCATTAGAGTTTTACTTTGGAGAATTACAAAATAATTATTTTTTTAAAAAGAATCTTAGCCTGATGAGTTTGGAGGTAGCTTTGGATATAGTCTACTTATTCTGACAGACTCATTGAATTCCAGAGTTGGAAAGGGTCTGGGCACCAACAGAGCTCAGCCTACATGGCTTAGAAAATATATACCACCCGGACTTTAAGAACAAAGCATGTTTAAGGTGAGTGAGGAATGGACAGATTCATTGAAAAGTGGTTTTTTTAAATAGAGTTAATAATTGTTGAGAAGTAGTTAGTAAGTTAATTTTAATTATAGCTAGTTGATTTAGAGCTGATGTGACATAGTCATAAAATTGAAATACCTTTATTAAATGCCAGGCATCCTCATTGCCCAGGTAACAGTTCAGCCCCATCCCCCCATTTCCAGATTCCCATTGAGATTCCTAAAATTCCACCCACTTCAGTCTTGTTGCAGCAGGCTGTTCCACGTGAGCGGCTTTTGTTATTACACCACAGAGGATGTGCCCTTCATCATTTCCATCACATTACAGACAGAGTGTCACACTTTGTGGTAAACAGAAATGAATCAAAGGGATTAATGTTGGAAGCCTGATAATACTATAACATTTGAAAGAAATAACTTCCGTCAGGATATGAGCAACACCAAGCAGATGCACTGGGCTCCAGATACTGACTTATCCCATAGGAAAGCCAAGGCAAAACCCCCCCACCTGTTTCATTCTTTACTCTCTATGATGATGCGGTTCGATAAGAACTGCTAATGGATGTTATTTTCTTTGGACAAGAGGCATTAAAAATCAAACTGTTTGGTATTAATAGGTTTGAACCCTCTGCAACCTTATCTGACTTAGCTGGGCATTTGGTGGTGAGGCTCTACAAACTTAGCCCCTTCTAACTTTCTCTCTGCCCGTAGGACCCACATTGGTCATTACAGAATATTGTTGCTATGGTGATCTTTTGAATTTTTTGAGAAGAAAGCGGGATTCATTTATTTGCTCAAAGCATGAAGATCATGCAGAAGCAGTGCTTTATAAGAATCTTCTTCAGTCAAAGGAGTCTTCATGGTAAGGCTGATTTACGTAAGTAGTACATAGGAGACATACAGGGTCTTGAAAGCTGGCGATCAAGGCTGTTGTTTTTTTTTTTTAAATGAGTGAGGTAGACTTAAGGTGCAGAACCCAAGCTAATAAACCATTTAAATGGGATTTGAGTGGGTCTGAATAATAAATCAAATCGCTTGATGCCCAGATAAATATATACACCTATTTAAAATTGTTTGGCATTTTCTTCCCTTGCATTCTCTTGGTTTTCCTATGCTTTTGATTTGTTTCAATGAATTTTATTCCTCTTTCTTCTTAAAGTAGTTCTTTTCCATAATCCTGTCTCTGCTACCATGAATTACTTTATCACTAATTTGGCATAGGCAGAAGCTTACTATTATCCTTACTTAGACTCGTCAATTGTCACAATAAATTCCTTAAAATCTTAGGTCACAAAAGCAAAAAGACCTGGTTTCTGTCCTGAAAGCATCTTTCTTTACTGTTTGACTTTTCCCTCCCTGCAACCCTGAAAGTTATTGTTTTTTTATGTACTTTGCCTTTCTTGCTTAGATACCATATAAACACACCTATTTTTCTTTCATACCTAATTTACTTTGAGAATGACTATCCCACTTCCATGATACCTAGATCATTAGATGAGACAGTTTTTAAAGTCCTACAAATGTCAGTTATTATCATTAATGCCATATAGTCCCAACTAATTTTTGTCCTATTGATTCCTTCATGCATTTATGGTAAAGAGCTTCCATTCCTCCTGAGGGAGTCCATGTTCCTTCCTGCTGTGATAAACTTCCTTCTTGCCATGCCATATCTTTTTTCTCTTCCATATGCAACTCTTAATCCTTACCACTTAGCACGCACATGGAGCTTTTCCCGACTTCATCAGCCTTGTTTGAGTTATTCCAGTAATTCTAGTTGTATATAAGCAGGAGTCTCTAATTATGTCATCTTTCATAGTGTCCATGACATATTTGTACATATGTTCCATGAAGGGAGCCCATCCTCCTAATTCTTCTGTAACTTCTTCATCCAGTTCAGTCCAATAAGCATTTAGTACAACAACGACTATTTTCCAGGTACTCTGTTGGGCTCTGGTGATATAGATACAAACATGAAAAAGCTGTTGCCCCCAATGAGCTTACATTCTGTGGTACTCACGGACCCAAAGTATCCACCTTGGCTGTGTTACTACTGCCTTCTGCATACCGTAAACACTCTTAGGATGTCTGTTGACATTTTATTTTCTTTTAAGGCTTTTAAGAAATAAATACACCTGTGAAATTACCTCATACTGAAGTTTTTGACATCCAGTATTTCATTCCAAGTGAAATTTCCTTTGACAAAATATAACAGGGTGCCCCAGAGATGCAATAAAAGTAGAGTACGAAGTTACCCTTTGACCTTGTTTCCAGAGTACATGTTATTTGTGTGAAATGGTGAACATTTGCTGATTTCTGAAACTCTGGCATATTTTTTTTAAATGGGGGGACTGGGAGAGGAAATCTAATATGTTAGCCTGATTTTTTTTTTTTTGCTCCTTTCTAATGTACTTTGTGCTTTGAGATCCCATATGGGACTGGAAGCACCAGAATATCATGCAGAAGACTGTTGTCATGGTGTTTCCATGCAAATCAGAAGCAGGAAGTACTAGAAATCTTGAAGAGTCTCCAGCCAAATGTTGCAGATTCGAGAGGTCCAGATGGTTCAGAAAATCATCCAAATTATTGGTGTTTATCTAAACCAAACTCAGTTTTTAGGCTCTTCCATCAATATCTATATGTTAACAATCTCTATACTTCCTCATGTCATGGTTCATAAGCTCCTATTCTCTTTTTCCTTTTTTTTTCTTTCTGGTAATAGAGTTTTGCAGAGTTTATGATGTTTCTAATTAGTTCTTTTAAATACATACGGTCTAGAAAAGAAATGCTTCTAAGTTTAGCCCTGTATTGTTGAACCCAAATACTGAAACCACCTTCTAACTGAAAAGGGAACCTCAGTCAGTCACGTACCCTGTGAACCACATGTCTATCGAAAGTTGTTCGGTCAAGAGATGTTAACTCTGCTTTTCTGCACACAGTGATGGTGCTAATGAATATATGGACATGAAACCAGGTGTTTCTTATGTTGTCCCAACAAAAGCTGATAAAAGGAGATCTGCAAGAGTAGGTGGGTAAATATCTAACAACAGCAATTTCTTACTAATGAAAGCTAGAAAGAATCTTTGGAGAGAACCTATTCCCAATCCCCTCATTTTATAGTTGAGGAAGCTCAAAATCTAAATAGGCTAAATAACTTGCCCAAGGCAATGTGGGTAGGAAGGGCAAGAACAGGTCCTCTGACAGCAAATCCAGAATGTTCTTCACCATGACAATCAAAGCAGCTTGTCAGTGAGGAGGATTTTAACATGAAATCATCTCAGTTGGCGAATATTCTCACCGGCAATGGGAATGGGCTGGAGGGGAGGTCCAAGTTAGATCAGCTTTGCAGAGGTAGAATAAAGTGTCCATGCATATCTCTCCCTGAGTGACCATTTCCATGGATTTGGAGGTTATGCAATCTGAGTTCCCCATTGTTAGGCCAGGATGTTGAAAGTGAACTTCTCTTTCTTTTTAGAGGTTATAGACAAGACATTGGATTTTTCTGACGTTAAAATTATTTGTCTTGCTTAAAAATAATATTTAGAAGTGTGTCTCGTTGGGTTTTCCCCCTCACCCACTCCCCTAAACACATTGTTGGGCCGGCCCTCAGACCCTAGGCATCTGCTGCCTTTTCTGACCCTTAGTCCTGTCTGTGCTTTCTGGCATTCAGCATTTCAGTAGTAAGATCTTAAGAAGGCTAAATAAATCAAGGGTTCTCATTCAAAGACCTGTGGAAGCACCAGAAGGCCCTCCTTTACTGTCCTTATCTTGACTTTCAGCTGTTTAACTTTTGGGGGCAATCTTAAAAATTCTTCCACTTCTAATTGACTAGGCTCGTACATAGAGAGAGATGTGACGACTGCCATCATGGAAGATGATGAATTAGCTTTGGACATTGAAGACCTATTGAGCTTCTCTTACCAGGTTGCAAAGGGCATGAGTTTCCTTGCTTCTAAGAATGTAAGTGGAAGTTGGCTCCAGAAAAGCCAAAATCTTTTTAGCTCCGGACCTCTTTAGAGACCCTTTTGAGAGTCTGTTAAAGCCTTCGACCCTTTCTCAAAATAGTGCTTTTAAATGAATAAAAAAATATATATATACAGGATTATGAAGGAGGCCAATTATGCCAAAATATTGTCATCAAAAATTTTTATTTTTAAAAAGGTTATGGGCCCCAGGGTTAAGAAGCCCTGATCTCGAGCCACAGTATAATGGAGAATGTCACTTTGAAGGGTGGTAACCCAGAGTAGGCGTGAATTTGTTGTATTCTTGTGTCTTAGCTCCTATCTTTTTGTAATTACCTTTCTAGTTCATACAACCCTGTCCAAATTACTTTTCCATGAGTCTTCGCAGGAGACGAACTGATTAAATTTCTCCCTTAGTTTTTAGAATAGAGAATCTCCCCATGAAAGAAATTAAAATACCATTTGTCAAGGTACAAGGCTTAGGCTAAAATCTCTTCTGCCATTGTGTGAAAGTCATCTTAGATTAAATGTATTACTGAGGAGGGGTGACGTTTCTTAGGTTTAATTTCCGATCTCTGGTGAAAATGAAGCTGAATAAAATGTTCAAGTCATCCTTTTAGAGCTGGAAGGAGCCTAAGAAGCTCTTCTCCACCCCCACCCTCCCTTTACAGATGAAGAAATTGAGACCCAGAGAGATGAAGTAGGTTGCTCAAAATTACAAGGCAAAAAGTACCAAAGGCAGGCTTTAAACTCAGTTACCCTTATCCCAAGTCAGACATCTTTTCCCCTTGTACGATGCTGCTTCTGGAGTGTACGTATAGTTATGGGATATGAGGCACTGTGTGCCCACTCATACCTTAACATGAATTCTAAGTGGGATGGAGACTTCTTGGTGGTTGACATTCTGGGCCTTGCCCAGTCATATCTCACATCTTGAACTTGAAGGAGACGTCTTCCTGGAAATTGTACAGTTGAATTTTCACCCTTGGCCATTGAATTGTTGAGCTTGTCAAAACTTGTACCTTTGCTTGATTGGTGTGCCATACTGATATCATTTGGAGGTCAAGGTTAATTCAGAGATCTAATGGTTAATGGAAAGGTTTAGCATTATTGTTCTTCTTCTCCAAGAGGACCATGACATCAGGAAGGTGATGCCATGACATACAAGTGAATTGGATTTAAGTGAGGGAGGGCTGTGCAAAGTCACCAGCCTCATTTTCTCTTTTGAAGCCATCTGGGTCCAGTGGTCAGATATGGATAGGTAAAGACAACTGGAGATGGCCCAGGATGCAGTGGGGGACCTTGGCCTTTTCTAACTAAGGTCTTTAACAGGTCTCAGTTTGCATGAAGCAGCACCCCTTTGGGTGATTATGGTAAGAAATGAGGCAAAGAATGGCCTCTTTTTAAAAAAAAAAATAGATCTGGAAGGGGAAGACCTTCAGGGTTTCTGGCCAAAAGAGAAACAATTGTTAATTCCACTCATTCTGACCCAATGGGGCCCAAACAATGGCCAGGTAGGGCTTGGCCTGGGACCTATTGTTGTCAAATCAATGAGAGCCAGAGTGATTTGGGTTTAAGGCTGGTCCACTCTGCCCCCACAGGTACAGGAACAGGGATAGGTACTGGTATGATGGTATGGTATGGGTACAGATACAGGTACGGGTGGGATACGCTATGTGGAGAGAGAGGGAAGGAAGGAAAGGAAATGAAGGAGGGATGGAAGGAAGCCAAAAAAAGAAAGAAAGAATGACAGGTTGCCCAAATGGAAGTTTGGTCCCTAGTGGGGAGCTCCTTCTCTACTCAGAGATTGCATTCAAAGTATCTATAAGTCCATGACTCTCGGATACCTAATTCACATTTCATCACGGAAACAGTGATGTCTAACATATTTTAATAGTATACTAATTTATAGTTGAGTAAGTTTGAAAGTCCTGTCCTAAATTGTCATCTGTGACATCTGCAAACAATTAAGACTAAAATGAGCATTCCAGGTGGTTGAAAGAAAGGGATGTATCTTTTAGAACCTAAGATTAACCAAGTTTTAAAAAATTAACGTCACTGGCTAAGCTCTTGCTTTAGGAGTTCATAACAAACATTTGAGGAGATACACGCACAACTCATTTTTAGTTTCGATTTTTTTTTTTACACTTTTAAAAAAGTAATTTGCCGTGTATCCTTCCTCCTCTTTGATAAGATTGAAGGAGAGAAGTCCTGGGGGGAAAATAGGCACTCATTGTTCATTTTGAGAAAAAATAATTTCTAGTAATTACTCAATGTGAATATCACATCACTCAAGGCATTATTTTCAGTGCAATGGAAGAAAAATATTAATGCTTGACTTTTGTGTGATATAGCTCTTCAGTATATGAAAAGAAAAGACTCTTGCCTCTTTTGTTGTAAAAGATATGGGATCCAAAATGCCTAATATTATTTTTTTCCCCTCTCTTCCTCTCTTGTCGTAATAGTGTATTCATCGAGACTTGGCAGCCAGAAATATTCTACTTACCCATGGTCGAATAACAAAAATCTGTGATTTTGGCCTGGCCAGAGACATCAAGAATGATTCTAATTATGTGGTCAAAGGAAATGTGAGTGTATATGACCTCTTTTTGAGAGCCAATTGAAATACTTTAAGATTCTTAGGTGGAAATGAAAAGCTTTGGGGGGAATGAATCCATCTGGGGTCTTTCATGCTATTTAGCAGTCAAAGTAAGTATGTCCTAAGTGGAATTTGCATGGTGTGGTGGGCATTACTACAACTAACATTCCAATAATAATAGAATTCCTAATGCTAATTGTGTAATTACGGGGCTCATGAAGGAAACAGAAATAGGCTTAATTTTCATTGTAGACTGAGAATAGCAAAGAATTTGATTTTGCTGGCGCGTAATATACAAATGTAGACCTGAAGGTCACAGTGGGAGATCTTTTTCCTTTGAATTGAAAATGTTCATTATGTGAAAGGTAATCCCATGATAGCTCCGGGATTTTAGAGCTCCCGTGTCAATCAATCAAGAAGTCGTGATTCACGTTGATAGTTTGCGGAGGACATATTTCAAAGTACTTGCATGTACGACAAACCCCTGCGGTCCAGACGAGTTGAGTGACTTCCCCAAGATCACTTGGTCAGTGGAAGCACCTGGTACTTCCTGATGACCAACACAGTCAGGGTCCCCAACCTTTCAAGTGCTGAACCTCTTCCTCCCTTGCACTGGTCTACGTTGTGGGGTGGAGGTGACCCTACAGTCTTAGCTAGAGTTTCTTAGGAGGAGTGATAGACTTCAATTGCATCAACTCCATCTGCCCTTTCCCACCCATGTCCCCTTGTGGTCAGAGGGCCCTTATGGTGCCTTCCTGTACTTGGCATGCCTTCTCTCCTCCTCTCTACCTCTTAGAATCCCTTACTTCTCCAATGTTCAGCTCAAGCACCATCTTCTGCATCAGGTCTGTGAAGTAGTTTTTTGAAAAGTCTCTCAATATAATGGTTTCCTTTGCAATCCTACATATTTCATTTTATGCATTTGAAAACATTTTGAGAGAGGGGACCATAGTTTTCACCAGACTAACAAAGGTATCTACTACTACTACTACTACTACTACTACTACTACTACTACTACTACTACTACTACTACTACTACTGCTTTTTATATAGTAGTTACTATGTGCTAGGCATTGTGCTAAGTGCTTTAAAATTATTATCTAATTTACTCCTCACAACAATCCTGGAAAATAGGTGCTATTATTTCCCCCATTTTTACAGATGAGGAAACTGAGGCAGACAAAGGTTAAGTGACTTGCCCAAGGTCACACAGCTAGAAAGTGTCTGAGGTCAAATTGGAACTCAGGTCTTCCTGATTCCAAGACTGGCTTTGTGCTTTTCCACTGTGCCACCTAGCCATTTCCTAAAAAGATAAGAACATCTCTTATACCTGAAGTCTGTCTTTCTACCACCAGCTGCTAATCCCCTCTCCCTTATTTATATAAAATTACCTTATTTATTTTGTATTTATTCTGTGCATATGTTTGTTTCTCTCAGTCAAATATAACCTCCTTTGGGGCAGAGATGTTTTCATTTTTATGTTTTTTCCCCTAATATACACTGAACCTGGTATAAAGTGGGCAATTAAATGTGTATTAGCAAAGTGGCCACTTCTCAACAGTGTGCTGGTAAATATTTAACAAGCAGCTTTGATAAAAACAATACACATGATGTACTTTAAAGTTAAATCTGCATTATTAACACTTTCCCTATGACTTTCTTAAATGTAGACACACAACACACCTTCCCTCCCCCCCAAAAAAAATCAATCCTTGATTTTATATGCCAATATCAGGGCATTTTGAATTGGCTCCAGCCCTTTCCTCCCCCTACCCCTTACCCATTTGAGAAATTGGCATTCCCTCATCTCAACTCTAGTCTCTAGCACTATGCTAGGGATTGGCAGCCCCCTCCCCCTCCCTATTGTATCCTAAAATTATAGATTTAGAGCCAGAAGTGCTTTAGTAGTTGTCTTATCCAACACTCTCATTTTATAAATTTTACATCACTTCTGCAATGAAAGGTCAAGTTTCCCAAAGCTAATAAGTGACAGAGATAGGGTTTCTCTATCTCTCAATCCTCCATTCTTTCCTTAGTATAGAGAAGGAAGGAGTTGTACATGAAAAGCCTGGCTCTCAAGTATAGGCTTTGCTGTTAGTAGCCTTTGAGCTCCCCACTGAAATGCAAATAACTCAAGGATAGCTCAAGGCTGGGGTGGGAAACCTGCATCTTAGAGGCTGGATTCAGTCTAAGCACTGCACTTGAGGACCTAGAGGGTTATTTTCTCCACCCTTGGATCAAGGCTTTATCAGATACCTGTCTTAGAGGTCAGTTAATCCCCTCAGCTAAGATTGACAAAAATAGAAGGCTAGGGTGGAAAAAAGAAATTGCCTTGAGGTAAGAGGGTGCCAAACATACATTTGGGCCTCCTCAGCTCCTCTGCCCCAGAGGCCTTTCTCCTTAGCCACAACCTGCCCTTTGTAACTAAAATAATTTTTAACCTCTGCCCTCATTTGCAGAACCTCCTTATACAACCTAACAATAAGCATTTATTAAGCTCCTACTGTGCAGACTCTAAGGAATAAGTAAGGGGCATTTGTTAGAGGGACATATGAGGGGTATTTCAAGAGATTCACAGACTAGTAAGGTAATGTACAGCATCATATTTGAGAGTTGGGGAACAGGATATTAATGTCCGGTCTAATGGGAGAGGGGAGGCAGCATTGTAGCCAAGGGGATTGAGGAAGTTATCCTTCTGGAAAATGTTGGCATTTGAGAAGAGCTTTCAAGTCAACAATGGGGACTGGGGATGGCTTTTCCAGCATAGGAATCAGCTTGGGCAAAATAGAGGCTGCAGAGCTATGTGTTTGGGGGAATGGCTGATAGAAATGGCTGAGTTCTCTGTAGTTATAATGGACCATTGAATGCTGAGAGGAGAGTAATATGAGAGAAAAGAAGGGTAGAGAGGCACTATTGTTATCTTTAGCTATAAGGCAGCTCTTTCTAGAATTGTTTCTTTAGTATATATTTTATTTTTTCCCAGTTATGTGTAAAAACAATTTTTAGCATTCGTTTTTTAGAATTTTGAATTCCAAATTCTCTTCCCTCCTCCTTGAAAAGGCAAGCAATTTGATATAGATTATACATGTGCAGTCATGCAAAACATTTCCATATTAGCCATCTTGCATCTTTTTAGACATGTTAAGAATTAAATTAAAATCAGGAAATAAATTTAGGACATATGACCCTTGCATTCATGTTTTGGTAATTTTACTGACCCCTGGCAACTCTTTGAGGGGCTCTGCTGAGCTCCAGCTGTTGGAGCATCTTTTAGGAGCTCTGGTTCAGACCATCTGAAAGGCTGTCAAATTTAAGAACCATTAAACATTTGTTTCCTCTGATTACCAGATAGTCAAAAAGTAGTTCTTATTTATTACAGTGTGCTAGAATTTGCAAAGTATTTAATCCTATCTGTTTAATCCTCACAATAACAATAATTGTTATTGATGTTGCCATTTTACACATGGGGAACTGAGTCTAAAAGTAGTTAAGTGACTTGGCCAGGGTCACACAACCAGGGAGGATTTGAACTCAGATCTTCCTGACTCCTGAGTCCAGCTGTCTGTTCACTACATTACTATGCCTCAAAAGAAGTGAAAGAAGGTTGAAGAGTTTCTTTTTGTCAACAGTATTAAAGTAGGTCAGGGTGACAACTATCATAGCAATAAGGAAAGATTGCAATAGGAAGATTCTTTGATATTCTCAGAGGAGAAGTCTGGGGGAACCTGGAACTAATCCCATCTTCCTCCTCCCCTCCTTCTACCACACGCAGCTATAGCAATAATTTTTAGCCAGTCTTTGGAGTTTCTTAACATATTGACCTTGTTCTTTTTCCCTCACAGGCCCGACTACCTGTGAAATGGATGGCACCTGAAAGTATTTTCAACTGTGTTTACACCTTTGAAAGTGATGTCTGGTCCTATGGAATATTTCTTTGGGAGCTGTTCTCTCTAGGTAAAATGGCCCTCACATTGCATCAGCTCCTGACACCTCCCTGTAGCTTTATTATGTAGTGGTTATCGGTGTTTCAGATTAATTCTGACTTGGGCCGTGTTTGCACTGTAGGAAGTAGTCCGTACCCCGGAATGCCTGTCGATTCCAAGTTCTACAAGATGATTAAGGAAGGTTTCCGAATGCTCAGTCCAGAATGCGCACCTCCTGAAATGTGAGTGAGACCTGAGTCCTTGATCTTTTTCTTTGGCACATTTACAAAGGGCACCCAGTTCCACTTTGTTGTTGTTGAGTCGTTCAGTTGTATCTGACCTTTTGTGCCTCTGTGGACCATAACATGCCAGTGCTGTCCGTGGGGTTTTCTTGGCAAAGATACTGAAGTGGTTTGCCATTTCCTTCTCTAGTAGATTTTGACAAACAAAGCTAGTAAGCGTCTGAGGCTGGATTTGAACTCAGGACTTCCTGACTCCAGGCCCAGTGCTCCATGACCTATCTGCTCGGCGCCATATTTCGTTTTGTCACAGCTGGCCAAATGTAACTTTCGTAGCACGCTTTTTTATAACAACATGTCATCCAAAGATGAGACGAGTCCCCCAGGCATCTTAAATGTACGATGTGTCTGACTTTAGTTAGGCAGACATGATCCAATTTGTTTGACTTCCTGGTCTGGAAAATACCTTTTAGATTAGTCCATCAATCAGATCATCAATAATCATTTATTAAGCAACTGTTACATGCCAGACATTTGCGGTGAGCTCTCAAGGGATCAGGGTGGGGGATGCTGCAGGGAGAGAAGGATGTGTTACACACAACTGAAGGCAAGGGAAGGGAAGGAGTTGTGTGCCTTATTCATCTGTCATGTTTCTGCAGGTATGAGATCATGAAAAGCTGCTGGAATGCAGACCCTTTGCAGAGACCGACCTTCAAGATGATTGTGCAGCTCATTGAGCAGCAGCTGTTGGACAGCACTAACCATGTGAGTGTACCGTGACCAGTCGTAGATGTCTTTTTTTCTCCTTTGTCTGAGGCAGGGACCTCTAGGTCCTCAAGTGAGGCCCTTTGACGGAATGAAAACTTCACAGAACAAATCCCCTTAATAAAAGGATTTGTTCTGTAGGTACCCAAGGACCTAGAAGGCCACATGTGGCCTCAAGGCCGCAGGTACCCTACCTCTGGTCTATGGTATCCCTTATTCACACTTTAGGGGTGGGGGCTGTGACTTGTTCTTCCTCCTCCTCCACCACCAGTGGGGGTCTTCTCATCCTAACGGCTTAGGTCATAGAACATTAGCACTGGAACGGATCTTTGAAATCTTCGAGGCCAGATCCTTTATTTTACAATGGAAGAAATGAGGCCCAGAGCAGACAAGGTGACTTGTCTTGCCCAAAGCCATAGCAACTGCATAAATGGTAGATAGACACACAGGTCCCAGGCTTTCCAAGTCCTAACTCAGTGTCTTTTGATTTTTGAGTGACGAGACCAACCAAGCTAGGATAAAATGCACAAAGCCCACATGTAAAGCTCACCTGGAGACTTGAGTTCCAAAGCAGGCACTTGCATTCATTAATAGCAGGAGTGTCCTCATTAGAAGTTCCATGCACCAGTGAAATCTTGGGTCTTGTCTTCTCTTCCCCACCTTGCCCCTCCAACCTACCAAGCTAGGTGTTTTGCATCCAAGCTACTCTTAGAGAGGTTAATTTGTTGATGGTAAGGTTTCCAGGCTTTTTTTCCCCTTAATTCATAGGTGGTTTTCCCCAAAATTAATCCTATCAGAAGACTCTTTTGAGTTGGCCAATTTTCTGCATAGGGTTTCCTAATAACCCAATAAAAACTAGAAACGTAAAGAAACTTGAAGATTGGCCCAAAGTGTTTCGGGAAGTTTTCTTGATGTAATTTATGCTTTTTGTTTGTTTGTTTGTTTGTTTTGTTTTATTGTTGTTGGGTTTTTGGTTTTTTTGTTTGTTTTGTTTTGTTTTGGGTTTTTTTGGTTATGCAATGGGATTAAGTAACTTGCCCAGGGTCACACAGTTAGTAAATGTTATGTGTCTGAGGCTGGATTTGAACTCAGGTCCTCCTGAATCCAGGGCCGGTGCTCTATCCACCTCGCTGCCCCAATTTATGTTTTAATAACCCTTAAAATATACAGTCATCCTCGTGGAAGTGATAGAAATTTCTGGACTTGAAGTCCGGAAGCCCTAGGTTCTAATTCCCTCTCTGGCACTTACCAAGTGACACTGGGGAAATCACAACCTCTTTGAACTTGAAGGACAGCTGCAGAATTTATCTGTTAAATCATAGGCAGGTTATAATCTGCATTGATGAGATTGGGTTCCCACATCAGGAGTTCGCCATATCCTTAGAAACTTGAGGCCAGTTTGGTTTTTTGGTTTTCGGGGTTTTTTTTGAGAAGCTGAGATAGCCCAGTTAGGTGTATCTGTGTTCCTAATGAGAAGCTAAGGTAGCCCAGTTAGGTGTATCTGTGCTCCTAATGAGAAGCTAAGGTAGCCCAGTTAGGTGTATCTGTGCTCCTAATGAGAAGCTAAGGTAGCCCAGTTAGGTGTATCTGTGCTCCTAATGAGAAGCTGAGATAGCCCAGTTAGGTGTATCTATGCTCCTGAGTTTGTTTACATTGGCTTTGCTCTTCTTAGGTTTACTCCAACATTACAACCAGCAGCCCCAACCACGAGAGTCCTGTTGACCATTCTGTGAGAATTAATTCAGTAGGCAGCAGCGCTTCATCCACTCAGCCCCTGCTTGTCCATGAAGATGCCTGAAGAAGGAGGTGTTGGGCCCAAAGGAGGATGGGCCAGTTCTTTTGGTTTCCATGACTTTTATTTTGTTCATCTACTTGTTGGCCTCTAGCACAGTGGGTGCATTGCTGTAATTCTATCCTTTGTGAATACACTGTCATAGCCTGAATGAACTCACTGACCACAGTTTCAGCCATCATCATGATGCAGGGGCAGAAGTTGTACATATTCTCAGTAAGGAGCTAGCTGGCCAGAATCCATATAGGAGAAGGGTATTGACCATAATCCCCTTTTATACCTGGCCTGTGAAAGGAGGTTGCTATTTGATTTTTTTTTCCTTTGTCAGTTAATAAATAGAAGTAGTTGATCACTTTTGGTCTTTCTTAGTCACATTTGCAGTTGGGGTATAAGAGCAGAGGCCCGGATTGGGGGTGCCCCCTTATTTTCTGCCCCATGAGTGCTCCTAAGAGATATCATGGCCAAGCATTTCTGTGTAAAATATCAGGTTATAAGAAGCAGAGTCAGGGAAGGAGGGAAGGCATGCCGTGTTCAAGTAATTCTCCAAAACACCTACTGGCTTGCATGAAAACTAGATTTTTCATGTCAGGGAAGTTCACGAGCCTGGGAAAAAAGCGTTGCAAGTTTCCCATGTGGAACATGAGGAAAGACATCCCAGCCACTGCACAAGCTTTCCCTCCTCCAGGAAGCCCAACCATGAGAGTCCTGTTGACCATTTCTGTGAGAATTGATTCAGTAAGCAGCAGTGCTTTATTACTCTTGGGGCCTGTTTTAATAGTGGCAGCTTAGGCAAGGGGGTAGACAGGGTGGATCAGCAGTGTGCTTGCACCTTCTGGCACTGAGATGGGTCCCCAAAGAAGCTGGCTGTGTATTTTAGGGGAAAAACCTCACACGTTTGCTCTCATGCACAACCCTGGAGCCTCCGCAGGGCTTAAGACTCTCTGTTAAGAATAGAAGCCACATAAGCAGTTAGCTGTCCTCTTTATTTGTCTTTTATAAAGAAGGAAAGCACAGTCCTCGGAGTCTCTTTTTAAACCCGTTGACTTGCTGTACAGATTCCCCATAAACGGCCTGTGAGTCCTAGAATGGCTTGGTAGCCAATGCAGTATCTACCTACCTATCTATTGCATGATATCTGCGGGCATGAGAAAGCGAGCTATTTCATACAGATCCCTAATGTAGCAGGAAAGCAAATCTAGATTCAGCCTCATTTATAGGCATGCCCTGGACCTTGGGCCAGTATATATTATATATAAAGATGTATGTATGTGCGTGTGTGTATGTAGAGATAGTCTATTTTGAGGCTCACCTCGCCCTGAGTCCGAGAGGGTCCTCAGGTGCCCACAAAGCAGCAGCCTTTGCTTCCTTCCAAAATTCTGTCTTTGCTTCCCTTGCTTCGTCTGTTCACAGTAGATCATCCAAAGCACGGAGAGGAGAGAATCTAAAGTATCTATTTACACTTGAGACGCTCTGTCATTGGTAAACTCAATATACTGTACCAGGCTCTGAGGCCCCCTTTTCTGCTTTGGGTCCCACTGAACTGGTAAGAATTGTATTTAAATTTTACTTTTGGTCTCTAGCACCCATTTCTATAAACTCCATAGCTACCCAGATCAAATAACCATTAAATGAATATGTGACAGGTTTTAAGCAAGAATTCCCATTTGTTTCCATCATATTCCTTCTTCCCTTCCCTTTCCCCCATTCCTTCGACTATGCTTCCTGGCAGATCTCTGGCCACAGTTAGGAAGATAACCATTTGCACTGGGCTTGCCTATGCTGTTTCTAAAAGTTGGCGAGTTTTTTTGGGGGGTAATTGTTATGCAGACAGATAGTTATCCTGAAGCTTATTTTCTTCACCAGAACCTTCCTTCCCATAGCATCGGCTTTTGTTATATTAGTTATGGTAGAAAAAAAAAAGCAGTTGCTAATTGTAGATATCTAGGTACTTCAGGGGCACTTCACTGAAAGTTTTGTCTCAGATATCCTTGAAAGGTTATATTTTTATAATTTTTTTTTAATTTTTAAATCAAAAGTTACTTTGCAGTAGCTGGATGTTTAAAATTGTTTTGTGGTGTTTTATGTAAATATTGAGATGTAGCAATAATGTCTTTTGAATATTCCCAAATCCTTAAGTCCTTGAAAATATTTTTATATGTATATAAATACAGTATGTATAAATATATGTAAGTGGTGCAAGTTTAAAGGATATTGTTCTGTGTTTTGTTTTTGTTTTTGTTATTTTGTTTTGGTTACGTTGCCCAGTTGTTGACAGTTTTGAATTCTAATAAAAATATGTAAATATATAAATCAGTAAGCTGTGCTCTTTTTTTTGTTTGTTTTGTTTTGTTACCTGTGTATATTCGACACAATCAAAGAATTAGGAGGCCAGAAAAGAGTGAGAAAATGTTGCTGAGTTGCGCACACACACACTGTAATTATGTAACTGGGGATGTCATCTAAAAGCATAAAATCTCAAGAGTTGCCAATGACTTCGGAGGTCGTGTTTTCTGAACTAGACTAGGATGTGAGTTCCATTTATATTACACCCAAGAAATGGACTGGCAGCATTTGTTAGAATTATAGTTAAGTGGGAACCCAAGGCCACTTTACAGTGCAGCCTGTTCCATTTTTGGACAATGCAAAAGTTTTCCCTTACATTTAGTTAAAATCTGTCACTCTGCCAGCTCCACCCATTGCTCCTACTCCTACCCAGTGGGGCTAAGCAGAATCTTCCACCTGAAAGCCTTTCATATAATCAGAAGCAGAAGATCCCTTTTCCTTCAAAGTGATTCTCTCATGGAATGATGCAAAGTAACACTTCTCAAAGTGTAGTCTTTGGAATCCTGGGGATCTAAACTATTTTCCTAATAATACTAAGGTGTCACACACCTCTCTCCTTTTTCTAAGCATATTTCTCTCTGGGGCCAGATTTTCTTCACATACTTCAACCGAAACAATATATCACAACAGATTGAATGCAGAGAGAGATAGGACAGTCCAGCTGTCTTCTATTAAGCCAGATGTTAAAAAGTTTTCCAAAAATACCTCAAACAATGCCACATGTCTCACTGATTTTGTTTCGTTAATAAAATATGGTTATTCATATAAGTAAATTGTTAACATGTAATGGGATTATTTTTAAATGAATGCATATTTTTAAAACTTAAGAGTTTTATTTCTAACATGGAAAATAAACATATAAACAAAAGCTCTTTGGGTTTCTCAGTTTTTAAGAGTTGTAAAGAGGTCCTATGACAATTTTGAGAAGGATGTTCTTCAACAAAATCACTGGGTAATCTAACTTAGCAATGCCCTCTGGTCCTTCTAAACAGGAAGGGCACTGATGGGGGGGCTCTCATTGACACCAATCTCCTCACCAGGTATGACCTACTGGGGGACTATGAGAAGGGGAATTTGGCTGTGAAGGTACAACCAACAAAATGAAATGAAGGTTTTCCACAATGAGCTCAGAGAACACAGAAATCTCTCATCGAGTAGCAGGGCTAAAGCTGCCTTGACCTTGATTTTCAGTATGAATGGCTTCTTTGTTTGGACTTCTAGGGCTTTTAAGTAGCAGGGGTCAGAAAAGTGCTAATGACATTAGCACAGGGATGGATAATGACTGGTGGCAGCCAAGGCTTTCTAGAAACACCCTCTGTTGGATCTCTTTTACATGACTTCTTCCTATCTTATTCCATTTTATTCTTTCTTTTTAGTACTCACCAGTGCTCGCTCATTAATAGAGAATAAAGAGCTAGGTTTAAGCTTTGGAAACATTTTTTTGGTGGGGTAGCCTAGGAATTATGACAAAGTGGCTAGTGTCCTGCCAACTATCCAGGGGAGGGTGGGTCCACGTGATTTGAAGCAAATAGATGAAAAACTTCACCTGGTCCAACCTCTTTGTCTTTCAGAGGACGGAACAATCCCACGCAGGTAAAGTGCTTGTTCAACATCATATAGGTAGCAACTAGTAAGAGTCAGGCTTAGAGGGCAGACCTAGGAGTTTTATGACAGTTTGCTATGAGTGAGAAAATTATTTTAAAAATTAGGCACCAGGAACATGGTGGGGTAAGTTTCTGCCACCTGGTCTTTGGCCGCTTGAAAAATACTTCATTTTCCTTTTACATTAACATCTTCGTTCCCTCCCTCTTTATTCATATTCCTTACCTTTCTGAGTGTGGTTAAGTCTTCCAACTAGCCTAGGGTTTTAGGCTGTTAGGGCTGTTATTTCCTCACTGTTTTGTGGCTGTGACATCCTGTGACCCTGAGTTACTGTCCAAGAACTGGAGTTGATGCAGTGGAAATGTTCTGCCAGACTCAAACTATAAGCCCTACTTAACCTTGTTGGTCCTATTAACAATCTGTTAAGCACATAGAACACCATTCATTATGAACTTATTTTTATTGGTTCAACATCTGTTATAGAGTATTTTCCAGAAGTGTCAATTGAAAGGGATGGAAAGGGTTGAGTGTGATACTGATATGGGGGTGGGGAGCAGGAGGATCTCTTCGTTCCCAAGCACCCTACCTTCCCAAGGGAAAAAAAAATCCATTCAATCCGTTACAAAGTCTTATGGAGTCTACCATCATGATAGAGCTGATATCAGTCACCTCTTCACTCACACAGCCACCACCCTAGTTCAAGGTCTCATCACTTCTCCCCTGAACTTTGCAAGAAGTGTACTCATTGGCCTTTCTGGTTTGAATCTGTCTCCTCTCCAATCTATCCTCCACAGCTGCCAAAATTACATTCCTAAAACAAAAGTCTCACCATATCACTCTTCTCAAGACACTGCAATAGCTTCATGTTATCTCCTAGGATCAAATACAAATGCTAGTTTAGCATTTAATCTCCTCTACAATCTAGATCCAATGAGCTTGCAAGGCTTATTGGATATTGCTTTCCTTAATGAATTCTAAGGTCCAGCCAAAGGGGCCACGCTGACCTTTGCAAAACATTCTGTCTCCTGTTTCCTTCTCATTACATAGGCCTGGAATCCTCCCTTCCTCCCCCCCTACCCCTGCCCTTTGAATCTCCAGTATCCTAAAAAGGTCAGTTTGAGTATTACATCTTACATTAAGTATTCACTCACCCCCCAGTTGCCAATACCTCCTACCAGAAATGTGTTTACTTTGTGTATACACATATACATATATTTCTGGACATGTTGTATATTCATAGAATATGAAGTTTTTTTGAGAGCAATGTCCCTGGTGCCTAGCACAGTGCTTAGCATACAGTAGGTGTTTAATAAATGTTTATTAATTGAAGTCCATGAAAGCCCAAGGGGACTGTCCACCTAGAAAAAGGCCATATCATCATGTACTGGTGGAGTTAAATACATGCTATATGGACCTTGCTTTAGTCACAGACTGATTTAAAGATAAACTAGCACAAAATAGTGAGAAAAGCTCCCTGGATACTTGGAGCCAAATAAACTGTGGATGATAAGGGGTCAACACAGGTTTTGGTCATTCTAATTGGCAGCACTTTTCTAGTTAGAGCCAGCTTAATTAGCAAGCAGTTGCTTACTTAATGTGATGTGAGTGTTTATGCCGTCCCTCAGGCCCTAAATCTCTTTCATCCAGGTGCCACGGTGCTTGAAATTCTGCCACTTAAGATAATTCTAGAGTCACAGAATTTTTAGACATCTAATCTATGCTCATTATATTTCATATGTTTACATTAAGAAATCTCTCTAAAGAAGTAAAAATATACTATGGGACTGATGCCTTATGTAACACTAGTCTACCAAATGATACCATTTCCATGAGTGTGACAAGCTTGTCCCTCACATTTCTGATTTCGTGTCTTAACTGAAGCCATTCCCTAAGCCTGAAATCTTTTTTCCCCCACTGCTAACACACTCATGCACCCCATGGTCATCTCTACAAGTTGAATTCTTACCTTAATTTTTATAGTGCTTTCCTCACAACAATCCTGTGACAGGTAAATAGTGCAAATGCAACCCCCATTTTCCAATTTAGGAAATAGATTCTGAAGAGTTAAATAGTGTGCCTATGTAACACAGTTAATAAGAGTCTAAGATGGGAGCCAAACTCCGATAGTCTATGTGAGTCTTGGACACTATTCTTTTAATGCTACTGTACCACCGCACTGGTCTCATTCCCCCAATTAATACTTACACTCAGGTTTTGAGATCCTCACAGGTTCATCTGACTATATATTCTCACAGAATTGTAGAGGTAGGTAACCTTGAAAGCCTTATTTTCTAGAAGTGTCACTTGTGAGCCCCCATCAGTCTGCTTTCCATTAATAATCAGAGAGGTTTCAATTAGCTTTTTAACAAAGGCATATATATTAAGATATAATTAAAATAGTTGTTACAAAACATTTTCCCTTCCCCCTCAAAAAGCCTAAAGCACATTTAAGTACATGTAGATACACGGGGAAAATAAGCCCAAATTTGGAGTACAATGACAGTAAGGCATAAATACAAGTTACATGTGGCAAAGCAGTAACTCATGATTCCTAGTGCTTTATAGCCTGAAGTTCTTTCTTGAGTCTATGGGTAGCATTCTTTGGTGAAAAGAGTCATGCTTCAGAAATTACTGCCCTCCTTAGCTGACAATCTTTCTAAGTCATTTGTCCTCAGTGTGTCACTCTATTCTCATTTAAATTACTAGTCTAGTCTCTCTGATCCCAACTTGATACACCGTTCACTGCTGGTCTAGTCTCTCTGAGATCAGTTGGGGAGGAAGAGGAGAAATAGAGAGAAAAATCTTTTCTCCCAACACTGCTTCCTTTGTGGGGACTTAGGTCAAACTGTGGAACTGAAATTCTCAGGTAATAAACTTGTATTCCTCCATTGTTAACTGATTCACTTTTTGACTGGTTCACCATTGGATTGACTGCTGTTTTCATATTTAGGCCCAGAGGTATGATTCTTTCCAGT